AATATAACATAAATGTTGTCAAACTAACCATTGCGAGGGAGAATAGAGTAAAATACTATTTACAACAATTAGGCAATTATAAATTCATTATTTTCTTTATTGACGAGAACACCTCATGCGGTATGTCTTTTGGCAACCGGCCAAACATAAACAACAAATATCCTTGCATATTAAAAAAAAAGGAATCGCATCATTTTAATCACAGCACGAGGTATAATTTATGTAAAGTGTATCGTTACTGCATCAGTGTATTAAATATACTCAAGATTTTCCATACTGCAATTTTATAAGTTCACACCGACAAAAAAAAAATGCAGAATTTCAGAGTATTACAAGCTTTTTAGAGAGTATAGTCAAGGCGTGTCGTTTTTGTCAAAATATGTACACAAAATAACTAGTTCGCAAAGTCTAAGATATGTCTGTTTTGTAGCTGCCGATTATAAAATATAAACCACGTGAAAGGCAGTTTATTAATAAAATTGCCCAAATAACTTTTATGTTTAGGGTTTATGAGCTGCCTAAGTTTGACCAGCTAGAAGAAATTGAGGGTCAACACACACTCAATATTTAGCTTATAAATTGAACCACGGACTCTAATTACTCACAACTCATAAGTGGCTATTAAGCTTTGGTTTATCGAGCAGATTAAGCTGTTAAACATACACAAATTTCTTCTTTTTGGTCATATCATGGCTCTAGTTAATAGCTTCATGCCAAAAACCATGCTCCAAATGCCCATCGATTCCAAGCCCTACAGCCTGCTGAATAATAAGAGTGTGATAATGTGAGCTAAACTTCCTCTCCTATATATACTCATTCTCATTTTTCAATCTTTAATTATGTACATATTAATGTTGCATTAAGTTAATTTTAACTATTTATTAACAGTATTAATTCTTTGGTTGATCAGAAGATGTGCTGCAGCGCCTAGACGACAGATCAGTAGAGGGAAACCTCCGCAAATCAACCGGGTAAGCAAAAGCAGTAACAGGAGCTTGAGAAGTGATCAGGTCAGCCTCAACAACAGTATGAGTGGAGAAGATGGGAAAACAAATGGAGGAAATGTTGTTGCTGATGAAGTTAACAATACAACCAACACTGCTGCTGCCACTGATTAATTAATAATGCAGGACCATTAGTTTGTTAATTAATCCAGCTCGTCGATTAATCCCTGTAGTTGTCATATGATGGCTCGTTGTCTAGCAAAGCATGGCTGAATGTGATTTGTTAGCAGCTTAATTATATATGTACTTTATCATAATTTCTTCTTGAACAAATAATTATCATTTTAATTCGTTAACCGAAAAAACATTGCTTCTTCTTATAACATATATGGTAGAATATGATTTAATTACACGATCTTATACCATATCAAAACATTGTTAACATCAAATCGCAAACAAATTTGGCAACTGACGAGGCCAAAGTATGCATGGTTAGGGAATATTTGAGGGGACTAGAGAAGGAGAGAATGGAAAAATAAGGAAAAAGACATTTGCACGTTTGGGTTCGAAATAACAAATTAAATTCTTTTAGTAAAAGAAAAAGAATTAGATTTTAACAAATGACCTTTTTATAAAATTAATTTTAACATTATGTTTTAATTCTTTCTCCTACAAATATATCAATTAATAATTTTTTTTTTAAGGCTCCTGACAGTCACACTTACACATGGCACCATTATTCATAAACGTTTCTAACTGAGGGAGGCAAAATTCAAAAAAAAATATCTTGAGTGCGCAGAAGATAAATGCTCATAAGTTCATACCCATCAATTAGTTTAGGGCAAAACAAGATGCTATTCATTCTATACTCTGTAAAGAGCTTCTAACATAAAATTATTTCATCCAGTTTCTATAAGAATAAGAAATAAACAACGAGCAACATGCATGTCATAATCAGTATTAATGTATATATATAGTCCCCTTTATGTTTTATTCTTCCCACTAACTAGTGCTAGCTTGAATTCCTTTTGGCTTATTAATTAGTTTATACTGCTGCAGAAATCTTAACCATCCAACTTGAATCATGAGAATCGCTTACATGTTCTTTACTTCTGGAAAAGAGGAAGATATATATATGAATTTCATAACATGCCACGTAAACCATGCATTCCTTTGGATGTTAATTATCCACAAAACAAAGAAAAACAAACCAAACGATGGGAAGAGTACTAATATGCTTATAATTTTTTCAATAAAGAGCCGTAGATGCGATTTCTGAAATTGAAAACAAATAATAAGCGAGAAAACCACCTCTAGATTTTGATAGAAAATTTAATATTTATTATTATGATATTATATTTGTAATTGAATTGATAAAATAGTGTTTCTTGGTGAAGGTACATGTCTGTCCAAGCATAAATTCAAGAAACCTTTGACTTTTCAAAGTAATCACATTTATTTTAAACAGCATCTCAACTTTTATAGATAGTCATTTTGAACAATTGTTAAAATAAGAAGGTTCTATCTTTTTTTGATGTAGAAGAAAGTTCCAAGTCATTTATTCTCAAAGTTGATAAATGAGTTTTTACATTAATTAAGTTTATAGTTTAAGTGAGTTCAACACAATCTTAGTTTACTAGAATCTTATGATTTGGCGATGCTACTATCAGATAGTGCGGTCATTTGCGCTAAAAGACAACAACCAATTTAGTGGGGCGTAAATTTGACTAAATACCACGTTTTTGTCTCCACCAATCTTTAGATGTTTATGTGGAAGAAAAAATAATCGAGAAAAATATGGAGGCGATACATGGATTATAGGGTAAAAAAGACAAAATTACCGTCGAGGCACACCGAAGCTTCTACGCACAAGTAGCGGACAATCATGGCTCAATGAAGATAAAAAATGATCAAAATAGGTATTTATTCAAAACCTATTTCATCCATCCTCATCAAATCTCCCTCACAAGGTAGCTCCCAAATTATTTCTCCTAAATTATATTAATTAGCTAATTAATTGATATTAATTCATTAATTAGCTAATTAATTGTAAATTACACCTAAAAAACGACTAAAGTGGCCGGTTCCCATCTCTCCCAAAAGGGCCGGTCACACCCCTATAAACACCACCCCATTTTCTCCAAAAACCGAAGTTGAATCCTTTTGCAAAATTCTCTAAATTTTCTAAACACTCTCCCTTCAAAATTCTAACTTTAGCATCGGAGGCTCTTCGGCCAAAGCCTTCCCTCATTCATCGTGGGCGCATGAGGCTTTTGGCCTTGACCTTAGGTGTTAATTATTTTGTAGGTGCATTTTCGTCCAATAAGGAGAAGGCGGAAATTTTTATCCACAAATTGGTGCTTTCATTGAGAGTTTGATTCACACGCTCGAAGAAGACTCTTGCATTCAACATTTCTAATTTATTGTTCATTTGTAGATTTTTCGTACGTTCTACTTCCTAGAATTTTTTATAAAATTCTATAAATAAACATAAAAGAAAAATACAATGACAAGAAATTTGGAAACCACCACGAACGAAACTTCCTAGGTTCAAAGATCCTGATCAAGTGATGGAGATTGCGATATAGCCCCACCATGACGATCCACAAGGCTCAATGCGACCGTAAGAGGAGCAACTTTGCCACCACGGAGCACCACCACCATGGCAGCCATGGGGACCATCGTGGCAGTGGGGAGTGGGCCAGCTCCATGGCAGCAGACCATGGCCTTATGCGTTGCCATTACAGCAATCCAAACCCAAGACCAAGCCCAGGCTCAGATGCTGGTAACAGCTACACAAGTAGCCCAGCAGGCGGCCCAATCTGCAGCCCACGTCGCAAGGCAGCCGAGCCAAGCCTAGCGTGAGCAGGCCCAAATTGTTGCCCAAGACGCATCGCAGGCCCAAGCTGCGCTAACCATTCCTTCGACCTAGATCTAATGAGCTTATATTGCCGCACCGCACCTACACTACCCGCACATGGCACGACTCACTTCTGCGGCCCAACCCGTTCCCTTGGCTCACTTGGCAATCCCAACTAGTCCAAAACCAGTTCAACCGTCTCGAATTTGTATTTTTGGACCGACGATTGAACATGGGGCATTTTCACCTTATTTCTCCGCAGATTTGACATTTCCCAATTCAAATCTTGCACCCAAAGTCCATTACATTTCCACTACTTAAGGAAACATATACTGTCTAAGCTTTTCTAACACAAATGATGAATCACAGTTGGCTCGACAAGTCATAGAATTAATAAGCGCCTTCACACAACAGAAAACCTTGGTGAATCAGTTTTTGCAGCGCACTGAAATGCAACGTGCCCTAGATGAGGTGTCCCGAAGCATGACAAAGGCAAATGACGAACCTCTCCAACAGCGTCCTGGCAAGCAACCCGTCAACCAGCCACGATTCGAGCATTCTAGCAGTTTACGCTTTCGCTTGGGTCATCGGGATAACGTATACTTTTATCTTAGCGCACAGAGAAGCGTGTACTCCTGAGCAAGCCCACGGACGAGCATACGTTCACAATTGAGGCCACACTTCGATTATTAACATGTATAACCTTCCAGGTGAAGTGTTCATTCACAACTAGGCTCTCAAAGAGCATTCTTCACCTTACATCGGAGTAGGTAACACAACAGATGGAGAAAAGCAGTCACTCAATTCGGCTTAAGTTCAATCGGCATCCTGCAAACAACCCGTTGGTTTGCCAGGAATGTGCCATATACACCGGAGCCACGACATAGACAAGTCGAGCATAGGGAAGAACGGCCTAGACCAATAGGTCACTATCGAGGCAGCCAAAAGTTCCACTGCCCCAGTAGAGGCAAATTCAAGAAGAAGTTGACAGGCTCCTGACTGAACGATTGCATAATTTTCAGCGAAACGAGGCTGCTGACGATGCGCTTCGATGAGACATGACCAATATAAGCATGTCACCATTCACGGATAAGATCGAGCAGACAGATCCACCTCTCGGATTCACTATGCCTCATTTCACTCCGTACAAGGGAGGTGAAGATCCAGATTGACATCTCAAGCACTACCGTAGTACCATGATCCTCTTCAGGAACGACAAGGCGCAAGATTGGTTTCACACCCTACCACCGCAGTTGATTCGGAGTTTCAACGAACTTTCCTTAGTTTTCACTAAGGAGTATTCGTCTAACCGCTCAATGAAAAAGACATCTAACCATCTCTTCAACATCGTAAAAGACCATAAGGAGACAATTTGCGACTATGTCAAGAGGTTCAAAACGGAGAAGGCCAAGATTATTAGCTATAACGAGGACATAACAACGGCAACATTCAGAAATGGGCTTTCCATCGAACACCTTTTATTTAAAAAACTAATCATGGGAGAAGAACTAACTCTAGCAGTTTCGTATGCTTTGGCGGAAAAGCACACACTATGCGACGAGGCCAAGCAGTCTAACAAAAATGAGTCGGAAAAGAAACGCATGGAACGTTCCCTGACCAGAGAAGACTTAGTGCCCGAAACATTCACAAAGTTCACAGTTCCAATTAGCCAAATTCTCTGCAAGCTCAAGAACAAACCTTGGTTCGAACTGCCGCCACCCATGAAAGCCGATCTTACTAAGCTGAATTATACAAAGTATTGCGCATTCCATCAAGGACTGGGCCACACTACCAACAGCTGCCTAAAGTGGAAGCAGTACCTTGAGAAGTTAACAAATAAGGGCTGGTGTGATGAGTATCTTGACAGGTCAACGATACAATCTACACAAGCATGGGAAGTTTCCATCACCCCTTGAACCTCGTTAGGGCTTCTCTAAATAAGTTCGAAGTCTCAAGCAGCTCGACGAACATAGCCTCGCAAGCTGAAGATTATCCAGTTTTTTATGCAGTTTCTACCTTCCAGCAAAGTTGATTTATTTCTTTATTCTCAATGAAGATTCAAGAAGTTATTCAGAAGCTTGGCTCAACTGCTGTCTATAACAACTGCTCAAAGCTCCACTTGGGTTTGCTCTTCAATATGAGAGGATAAACTAATTGCTCTCCAGTGCAAGAGGGTAAACCAATTCCCCGACACCCAAAAGGGTCCGTTCTCCAGTGTGAGAGGATAAACTAATTGCTCTTCAATATGATAGGGTAAACCAATTACCCTGACATCCATATAGGTAAGCTCTCCAGTGCGAGAGGGTAAACTAATTACACTTCAGTGCAATAGGGTAAACTAATTCGTTGACACCCATTTGGGTAAGCTCTCGAGTGCGAGAATGCCACATAGCTCAAAAGATCAAATGCTTGAAGACCAACTAAGCAACAAATGGTCAGGAGACAGCAGTCACTTTGCACCCAATAGTTCGCTTATCCAACACTTCATCTTCAGCAGCTCCGATCTTGGCAACTCTATCCTTGACTGCTCCATCTATTGCAGTTGAGAAATCAAACTCAAGAAATTTCCTTATTTTTGGCAAGCAGCCCAAACGTGGTAGCCCAAACCGTGGCCCATGCTACGCCACCCCACTTCCTCGGTCTATGCCGAGCCACTCCTTGGCTTCAGTCAAGCTGAGCAGCACAAGCAAATGGCCCCTACCACACCTTCTTCTTGGTCCATCACAAGTCAACTCCTGGCCTCTGACAACCGACGTGTCGCAATACCCTGACGGCTTTCCAATGGCAACACCACCCAAGAAGAAGACAAGGAGAATTAAGTTTTTCTTACATCAGTGCAGCACGGAGAAGACAAAGAAATCAATGGAAGATGGTTCTTTGCACGGACAAGCAAAGAAGGGTGCTAGGGGAGGGGGAACAAGTTTTTAATTACATCCAAAAAACCACTAAAGTGGCTGGTTCCCATCTCTCCCAAAGGGGTTGGCCACACCCTTATAATTACCTCCCCATTTTCTCAAAAAACCTAAGTTGAATCCTTTTGCAAAATTCTCTAAATTCTCCAAACACTTTTCCCTCAAAATTCTAACTTTGGCATCAGATGTTCTTCGGCCAAAGCCCCCCCCCATTCATCGTGGGTGCATGTGGCTCTTGGCCTTGACTTTAGGTGTTAATTGTTTTGCAGGTGCAATTTTTTCCAATAAGGAGAAGGCGGAAATTTGCATCCACAATTTCTATCCTAATTTTCATGTTCATTTGTATTGCTTCATGATTATTTTCAAATGTTGCATGATTTAATATAGCAATTAAATCCTTATTTTCCCTATGTATTTTAGAGCAATCATGTAGGGACAATAATTCAGTTAGAAAAACCTAAAATATCGTGGAGGCCCCAATCGTAACTGTTGCTAATTCGTTAAGAGAAATGTTAACAATTTTTGCAGGGGGCAGATTTTTGTGTGAAATAAAATGACATGTGTCATTTGAATAAGTGAAAATGGTTTTTTTAAATTTTTTTTTAGCAAAGATATTATCTACACTAAGGGAAGGGGATGGACGTAACCTCACAATGGACTAGCAATAATGTGGTTTAAATTCACCTTTGACAAGAATCGAACCTAAGACCTTACATTTATAAGTGAAGAGGAATATCACTAAACCATAATACTAAGTGGCAAGACATAAAAAAGTTTAAATACAAAGATTGCTAGCACTTCAAAATGTAAACCATGCACGAACCCTAGAAAAAGGTTGGGAAAGGCATAGTCGAAGTCGTCCCACCCGTATATTGAACGGGTTGATCGAATAACTGTGTGACCATATATTCTCTGCTCAAATAAAGAATGCCTATACAAGCCTTTGATTGAGGATCCAACTCAATTATGGACAAAGACTATATAAGCCCTTATCTTTACCTCCATGTCCTATAGCCTATAGGGATAAGATGGAAAAAAATGGGGCAAAAATAAAGCAGAATCAAAGTTGTAATAATAGTACAAGTTGCATTATATATTGTGCCATGCATGCTCAATCTTTATAAACTTCAGACTTTCAGTCTCACACTCAGAAACACACACAATTAGTAAACTAATCTCTCTAAATTACTAAGATCATGGCTCAAACTGTGCGTGGTTTCATCGTCATGCCAAAGACCAACATCGTCCAAATTCCCAGTTGCGAGTCCTACCGACATCGACCTGTGAATACGTAAGTGATAATGAAATTTAATTTCTTTTGTAAGAACATAATTTGTTTGTTTAATTAGCAATATATCTTTGCAAGAAATAGAAATCATCATTTATTTGTGAATTATGTTACCAATTATTTATATGATTGAATTGGATTATATATGTGCAGGCCGCAGATCACGCATTACGACCGCATGTACGCCCGCAGGAATATTAGTCACTCCATAAAGTATGGTGGTTTCATTATAATTTGCATGTATAAGATTGGTAATTACAATTTTGTATTCGACGGAAGTGATTTCCGCTCATCCGTTTTCTTTATTTAAACATTCATGGTTATTTCTAGTCTTTTGATGAAACAAATCAAAGGATTGCTAAGAGGTGGAAATAATCAAGAGTGCACAAAAATGAAACCTTGTGCGGCAGTCAATTCCCTCGTGAGAATATTGTTTTCTTTGTTTGGTGTACGTAAAAGGGTGCTTTAGATTTTGGCCCTTACAATTCATTATTTCTAGATAAAAACCCATCTATTTTTAAAGATCTAATTTAAGCCCAAATTTAAAATTTGCAAACATATAGGAACACTATTGACCTATTAATACAATTTATTTACACTCATGCCACTCATACTTTATGGTCCCTTTTCCAAATTTCTAAATTTATGCCAAATTAAAAGTAGTAGAAAAAGTGAAATAAAATGAAAAAAGTGTTTGCATTAACCGTATCTATGTCAAACTAGAAAAGTAGTTTTTTTTTTTCGTGATATATTTTGTAGCAATTTTATCCATATTAATTGGTAGGTAAATTAGTTTGTTCCAGTTATTTAAAAAAAAAAAATACTACACCTATATTATATATTTTGAATCAAATAACATTCCTCTAACTTGTAGGTAAATTATTTTCTATGTATTGTTATATATGTTAGACACGTTTTGTTGTTGTATAAACATGAGTGGAACATAATATTGTTGATTTTATACATCAAACTGCATTTCTTTTGTTATAGTTAAATTATTTTCCATGTACAAGTACTTATGTTAGGCAAGTTTTGTGGTTGGTACATACAATATTTTGTATCATTGTAAAGAAAGATGTTACATTACACCCATGGTATAATTGTTGTAGGTAAATTATTGGAAATTAATTTGTAGTTAGGTAATGAACATTTTGCATCATTGGAAATGAACATTTCAAAGAGTAGGTAGGTAAATTAATTTGTTCTAATTATATAAAAAAAATTACACTACACCTAGCTATATTTAATTTTTCCAATTATTAAAAAAATTTATACTACACCCAACCAAATAACATTTCTCTAAGTTGTAGGTAAATTATTTTTCATGTATTGTTAGATATGTTAGGCACGTTTTATTGTTGTATAAACATGGGTGTAACATACTATTTTTAATACCATACATCGAACTACATTTCTTCTTAATATAGGTAAATTATTTCTTCTTTTTAATATACATCGAACTACATTTCTTCTTAATATACATCGAATTACACCCATGGTATAATTGTTCGTAGGTAAATTAATGTGCATGTAGATAATGAAATACAATGTTCTAATATATTAATAAAAAAAAGGGGATAAATTCAAAAGTATTCAAGAGTAGGGTGAAGAAACTGAATCGAATAGTTTTATGAAAATTCAATACCTTTCTAAATTTTTAACATTAATGTCTTTTTTTTTCTTGTCGCAAAATCATTTACTATTTCCTTACAATTAATTGTCTACATCAAGTATGTAATAGGGGTATTTTAGGCATGTGAAAAATGTAAAATGTGTGAATTAATATGAAGTTAATGAATTTGCTTATGTGGATCCTAATCATTGGGTTTTATTTGAGTAAAAAAGTTATGTAGGGTTTTATATAAAGAAAATTAAGTTTGAAGGGCTAAAGTCATATTTTCACTTTATAAGTAATTATGAAGTACTATTCTTTAAAAAATCTATTATAATATTATGAAGAAATTAACGTTTTAGTATTTATTTGTTATTGATCTTAAGATGTGGAGGTAAAAGCAGGCCACCGATCAGCAAAGGGGGCGGTGGGAAAATTAATGGGACGACGAAGTTGAGGGAGCGGAATGTTTCTGATCAAATCAGCAGCTCAAAGACTGATCAGAACGATGGCAAGCAAACTAACGGAGATGCCAAAACTACAACAAAGACTGGGTCTACTGGTTGAGTACTATACATATAAGTTACTCTTTTTTAATTAAGTGACCAGCTGTGTGGAGTCTGTGATGGATTTAAGTCTTCCGTCCCTCATAGCTTAGATGTTTGTGTTTGTGTGGTGTGTTTATGTTTGAAGTGTAATTTGGTTAGTGTGTTTTAGCTTGCAGACGTGTTTTATAAATAATGATCAAGCATGTTAAGTGTTTTCTGCAGTGGTGGAACTAGAAGTATTTCATTCGTATACACAAATGTGATTTATATTTTCAGTTTAATATTATAGCAAAATATTATATATTGAGTGCTGATACGCAAACTAATAAGAGGGCGTACGCCACAAGCTACAGGACCTAGTTTACCCTTAGCAAGCCCAACCGTATTCACACCCATGGATACGAAGGAAGATGCTAGAGCAATAGAAGAAGCTTTACACAACTCAGTCAAGATTGAAGATAGACTAAAATTTGTTTATCAGAAACATCTCGGACGTGACCAGGAGAGAAAAATCTAGCTTGACTGAGTGTAATGGAAACAACCTATTAGCTAGTTAGTTTGAAAGTCGTAGACATTCTTGGTGTAATTAAACCTCAGTCAATGCAAAACAAAATTAAAAGGGGATAAGTATGTCCAAATCCTAACCTTTGAGAAATTATTTAGTAAACAAATTTAGCGACTGGAATTTTATTGTATTGCAGTTCGGAATAGCTATCAATTATCATCTCTAGCTAAAGAAAATACCAAAGCTGGAACGTACAGCTTAATTCTGATATTTTTTTTTTCCAGTGTGAACATGTGGCTTGACTGAATCATGCATTCATACAACCTGTGGGAGACTAGATTTTTTTTTATTACTAGTGGGCTGAAGAAGGTTAGCGTGAAGGTGACCAAAGATAAAAGTCCAAGGAAGGACGAGAGGTTTGCCCAAAGTAGTCGTGAATCGATAACGGTATAAGCGAGTGTGCCTAAAAAGGGGGTGTTGTGGCTTACTTGGGAACTGCGTAGCAAGCAACCCCCACTCACCTACCCTTCTAAAAATCCCCGTTTATGGTTGTCTAGGTCCCACCTATGCTTTAGCCAGTTGATTACGGATATGATTAATTCTTATGCATTTAAAAATTAAGAAAGTGTGTCTAAACTTATCTAGGCACCTGCTTGAGTTGATTAGGTCACGTCTCTCACTTAAACAAAAAATAGATAACTTTTATTTTTTCAATCAATTTAAAAGACTTGTTGGATGCTTGGATGTTCCCCATGTTTTCAATATGTTCTAGTACTTTATAATTTATATATCATTATGTATTCTAATACAATTATATATATATATATATATATATAAAGTGTAAAGACATTTTTTTTATATGTTATAAAATAAGTATAGTTAAAATAAATAAAAAATGCCAAAGCTCCCGACTAAACTTCTGGGCATTAGACATCTGCCTGCCGTCCAACTAGCGGTTAATGCGTTTTATAACCTTGCTCATGCACAAAGTGCGTGCGCAATGCATTGAGGGGCTAAAATCTGAGGTTGGCGGAGCTTGATTCCTAAGCTTCACGATGATAAAAGCTAGGGGTTGGCTTTAATGAAAGGTATGCAAGCAATACCACTTGAAGCACAAGAGATATCCTGCAAAACAATGACTTGAGCTTAGATGTGTCTTATGCAGGTGGCCCTCCCCCACATTTGATTGGTGGACGTTACTTGGAATTCCTTTCCCGGCTTTGCAAGAGGCGTGTGGAACCTGTTCATGTTGAAGAACAATGTTTGAGTTAAAATTTCAACTTTGGAAAGGCTCGGGAGTATCTAGAACAAACAACGGATGTGAAATGGAAGTCCAATTTTTGTTACATAACTTTAAATGCGTTTTTGGACTAATACACGACCTCAGATGACCAAAATCTATCGTACGTCATGGCAAAGCTATGACATGTGGTGTTGTTTCTTTTCTGAAAAAGGTATCATAGGTCCAATTCGAAACTCGGACAACAAAGTTACAAATTTCCGTTACGTTCTTTTTCTGGATTATGACGTTAATTGGTTAAATGTTTAACTAAATTATTTTTAAACTTACAGATTATTTCAAACAGTTGTGTCTGAATGAATTTGAATCAAATAGTGATACTTCTTGTGAAAAGGCATCAGACTGCCTATATATTTCTAACGTGCATTTGCATTTCATACGTCAATTTGCAATATTCATTTTTACAAACTTCCTGAAAGAAACGGAAACAGACAAAAGTTCGTCAGAATTAAAGTTTCGTTGTTGAATCCTGATGGAGTAGATGTCTGCAAAACTACAAGCACTGAGGCGAAATTATGTTTCAAGAACATTGCAAATACGCAAGCCTCTATTTGCAAACTCCGTTAGTTCATTGTGTTTCATATTTTTATTCTTTGTGATTATTTACGTATCTATTTCGTAGTATTATTTTGTTGTATTAGATTTTATTTTCCGTTAAATTAATTGATACTGATTGTTGTTCCGCCAACAGAACCTTGTTAGAAATCTTTGGCGATATTTCTTCTTGTAAGAAATCGTGCTCCAAAACAATCAAAGAGACTAATCAAGACGATCAAATGATCTTCAACAAGAAGTCACTGTTGTGGGATTTTAAAAACTTGGGAAGGACTAATCAAAGTCGCGCACACATGTGAATTCATATAAGTTCCACAGGCACAGAGAGAGAGAGAGAGAGAGAGAGAGAGGTCAGGTCTTCCTATAGTCTATGACTCTGGCCAATTCAAGTCTGAAGACTGAATCCTTGTTAATCAGCTGCCAACTCCATTTGTTTTAAATAAAAACTTGGTCGTCAATGGGAAAACAACTTGAGGACCACAGTATATATACATGCCAACTTAATTAGGTTCACTTTGATCACTGATGATTTATTTTTCTTAAGGATGTTAAATATATCAAAAACGATAGTTTTTTTTTATTTTTTTATTTTTTTTATCAATTATTTTTGTATATGGTAGTGCTACATTTTTATTCTTTTTTGTAACGGTTGTCTTGTTAGTCGACTTTGCTGGTTGCTAGTAGCCTATAAATCTAACATTTGGGCTCAAGTCAAGAGATGAAATAACTTGGAGCAAACTTTGAATTAGCAATAGAAGTAAGAACCATCAGTAGTTGCTAACATATGGCTGTTGTTAGAGGCTTCATGTCAAAGGCCATGCTCCAAATACCCATGTTGAAGGCCATGCAATGGAAATTTCTTACTGTGTAAGTTGATTCGTCTTTCTATATATATCAATTTCCCCTATCTTTTCTTTTGGTTGATTTTTTTTTTCTTCCCAATTTCTTGTTATTTATAGAGTTAGAATCGCCATATTTTAATCCACATAAGTTAATTTTAGGTATTTACAATAAATATGACTTGAGATAGGTTGGAACATTTTAAACCCTCATTCTTGGGTCCTTCCCCACTCGTTACTTCATTTTACAATATAATTAATGAAAATGATTAAAACTATTTATTCTCTTTATTATCATCATCTAAAGATGATCGACTTTCAAAAAATTCATTTGATTTAAAGACCATTTATCCATCTATATATGTCGAACGAATCGACAATTATAGTAACAAGTAGCAACCTCATGATAAACCACCAATTTCTTTGATTGATGGCGACGACTAAATGGTCTCCAAATTGAAGGAATGTTTCCACCATAGAAAAGGTAATATGACATTGTTCGTATTATAACGTTTCTATGGTGAAACAATGCCACAATAGTAGAGAAAGATTATGTGAGACTAGGCGAGATTGTTCGTATTATAACATTTCTATGCTATCCTTTTTTTTTTGATAAATTTTAAGCAGAAAAATATTAGGTGAGATTAACTCTTGGCAGGTCGCGTGCTAGAAACCTACCATTTCTTGAGGGGAAGATGACCATTACACCTAGAAATCTTATGACCGTCCCTCCTCCACATTAATAAGTTTTATTAACAGAAAAAAAAGAAATATGAAAACATATGACTAGGCCAAAACCCCCAAAGAAAAACATCAACGAAAATGATAATAACTTGCAAAAAAATGAATGATTTGCTTGTATCATAAAATTAAAGAACTTTAAGTTGACAATCATAGAAAATATTAAGGTGCAATGTTACTTTCGTTTGTACTTCAATTAATCTTCATTTTTTTCCGTTTGTTTAGAAGATGTGCTTCTGGAGACACAAGGCCAGGTCTTAGTACAGGCAGTGGTGGACAAATCAATGAATCACCTGAAAAATATGCCGTGACGGATGAGGAGCAGAATGGATTCAGCAGCTCAAATGATAAAATTTTACCAACTCCACCAGTACAAGTAGTAAATCAAGATTATAACATGAATAACAACAGTTCTACTGCTTGTGATGATCAACCTGCTACTAATGATGAATATTAACGTGCATGGTCTCTTCCTTGCTTAGACAGGAGACGAAATTCCATAGTAGATGATCGTTTGTAACTAATGACTAATAGTTGATATATATGTACACATGTCTCCTTCCATCAACTTTTCTTCTTTTTGTTTTTTTGCTTTGTTGTCAAAAAAGTTTTTAAACATAATTCCGTCAATACATGGGAAGATGATGATTTGGTAAATTTGTACGCATGATTTGATTCGATTGGTACTTCCTGTTTGACGAGGACGATGATTTATATATATTTTAAGTTCAAATCTCCCCTTCTAGCGTCCAACCGTGGAACAATTTTGAACTTCATTTGGTTTTATTAACAAATAATAACTCAAATGTGTAATGAGACAAAGTGTTTGGTCAGCAAACTTATTAGCATATTTATTGAAATCCAACAATATGCATTAATATATATATATATATATATATATATATATACAGTATTGTGTTTGTTATATTGGCAATAACAATTATACATCTCCTGCTGATTGTATATGCTCACCCGTATTTAAGATACAAGTCAGCAATACAGTTAGAAATATAGTTAGCAATACAATTAGCAAGTTTGTTAGTATTTGGTTAGAGTTGTTAGGCTTTCTAGTATAAAAATAGAGTTGTGTAATCTTTCTCTTTAGTTAATACAAGTCTCATATTTCTCTCTCTAAACTCTCTCTAAATTCTTTCTAGTTACTCTTTCTCAGTTACTCTTTCTTCTCCATTTTCTCTTCAATTCTCAAATATTTCAATGTAGTTAACAACCCGTTCAGTGTGGATCTGTGGCTTGACTCAATGAACCATGCAAGGGAACAAAGAGACTAGTAAGTGACACGTGTCACCATCCGGTGTAATAGTTTGTTAGTAGTTAAGTGAATGGCTTGGTGACCTAGTCTCTAAGTCATTAATCTGCTCGCATAAATAGCTATCGAGGTATATCATTTATACGTGTGATCGAGAATTACATTGTTAAAATACAGAGAATCTTTCTCTTTCTTTCTGAGAATTCATTTCTTCTTGTTGTTCCGTTGAAAGAGACGAGATCAGGACCAGATTAAAGGATCTCTTTAGCAATCAAGTGCTAAAACAGTTGATCATCATGAATCGACATTGATGATATGGCACACTCAAAACAAAAAAACCGAACCTTGGCAATGCAAGTGCGCACATGGAAAAAACCCTAGCTAGCTAACATTAATATATAATTGGACACTACTCCTTATGTTTTAGTTACAATTGAAGTGAAAATCCGAAACATATATAGTTTAACCGTAATCCTACCTCACCGTTTGAACTAATCTTATAAGGACTTCACTGCTTGTATCTATTGCCGTTTTAATAAACTATAATTTGAAGACGGTTAGGTTTTTTATAATATCGTTGAATATGTGAGTAGGTGCCTAGTGGATGCAAATTTCCACCTTTCTTCTTGGAAAAAAATACGCCTGCAAAACAATTAACACCTTAGGTCAAGGCCAAAAGCCTCACGCGCCCACGACAAATGGCAGGGGGTATTTTGGCCGAAGAACCTTTGATGCCAAAGTTAGAATTTGAGGGAAAAGTGTTTAGAGAAATTTGGAGAATTTTGCAAAAGAGTTGGGATTAGGTTTTTGGAGAAATGAGGTGGTATTTATAGGGGTGTGGCCGACCCCCTTTGGAGAGATGGGAACTGGCCACATATGGTGGTTTTTGGGTGTAATTGCAAGATATTATGAAATTAATCAATTAATTTAGGTAATTAATCCTATTTTGAATGAATAATTGAAGGTTACCTTGTGGGGAGGATTTAATAAGGATGGATGAAATAAATTTTGAATAAATACCTATTTTGATCACTTTTGACCTTGATTGTGCCATGATTGTCTGCTGCTTGGGCGTAGAAGTTCTAGTGTGCCTTGAGGGTAATATTGTCATTTTTCACCCAAAAGTACATGTGTTGCCTCCATAATTTTCTTGATTATTTAGCAGGTGTAGAAATCTCTAGCTTTGACGTAGATTCTCACTTCAACTCGAAATTATATTCTTTTAGGAAAATGAAATAAATCGCCTCCAAAGCCTATTTAAGCCTACCTTAAGTAGGGGTTTAAATCAACTTCAGAGGGTAATTATTTGTCCCTACAAGAAAGAGAAAACTAGAGGATATTTGTTCTCCCTCCCCTAGCACTCTTCTTTACTTGCCCTTGCCAATGTTAGAAAAACTTAATATTCTCTGCGCTGCACCAATGTTAGAAAAACTTAATTCTCCTTGTCTTTCTCACATACTCTCCTTTGTTCCAACAAAATATGCTATGAGGACCAGCATTCTATCTGAAAGATGGAAGAGGATATGGGCTTCTGTCCCCAATCTTGATTTCGTATTAGAAGAAATGTCTAGTACCTGGAAAGACGAGTATCTGCTTCACCATAATCTTTTCTTAGATTTTGTCTACCGTGTACTTCTCGTTGTCAAAGATTCAAAATTTGTGTCTTCATTGTTACTGTCATGCTGAGGACGTCTCTTGTATTGCTCAGTGTATTCGCATTGCCACTACCAATAATGTTGTTGAGCTCAATCTTCGTGTTAAAGCGCTTTATACTGATGATGATAATTTCCCCAAGTTGGAGTTGCCTCAATGTGTTTTCATGAACGAAACGTTGGTAGGTTTGGAGGTGAAGTCAAATTGTATTACCTATGTTCCTCTGACATCAGGCTGTTTTCCAAGTCTCAAGTTGCTTGATGTCAAAGTTGTATGTCTTCATGGCGGCTCAATGGAAAAGCTTTTTACATGCTGCCCTGTACTAGACGATTCATCCATTGATGGAATTGTTTCAGGTGATATGGCTTTCACTTTTAAGATTGTTGCGCCTACACTTAAGAAGTTAAGAATGAACTTGATTTGCGATGATGACTTTGTTGGTGATGGTCCTAACTACAATATTTTTGTTAACACCCCAAAGCTTGAAAACATTGACATCAAGCATGACTATTTGCCAAACTATCCGTTTGAAAATGTACAATCGCTGGTCAAAGGCAGTCTTGATATCTGTCGTCATTTTGGGGAAGATGAGGATTACATTTTTAACCGAGCATCTGCACTTCTGGAGCCATTTTCCAACGTTAAATATCTGTCTTTTTCAGTTCATTCTCTTAAGGTAAGAATCTGCCTTTACTGTTTGTTCTCTTCATTTGTAAAGTGTGTGCATGTTTCCCCCATAAAATTATAAACTGCACGAGGGAAAGAATTAAAGCATTTCTTCCATTTGGCCAATTTATGATATGAAATAGATATAATCCATCATGAGGTTTGATCGATATTTTATCGCTCATGGAGGGTTGTCTGCCTGCATTTGATCAACTGCGTGAATTAAAGCTGGTTCTTCGTGATTGCTATTACTGGGATTTGCTAACAGCGTTGCTCAAGAAATCACCCATTTTGGAATCCCTTATCATAGAACATGAAGAAGTAAGATGTATTTTCACTCATGATATCTCATTTCAACATGCAGCTCTTTACTATTCTGATCGCATTCATAATTTTCAGGACCAAGATTGTGTTGATGAATACGAGATGCATCAAAGTTACTTAGAAGATGTCTTATACTCGGAGGAGCGATGGAGTACACCAGATGTTGTGCCTATATGTCTGATATCACACCTCCAGTGTAACATCCCGTCCCGGGATTTACGTAAGAAAATGAGTTTTTTTATATTTTCATTAAATTTAAGGGATACTTTTCATTTTAAAATTATTTTTAGTCTTAATTGGTGAGCCCAAGGGGCCCACCCCTGTTTTGTCCCCGGTTCCTTTCCCTTCCTCTTTTCTTTTATTTTTTTGGAAAAGTCTCTCTTCTCTCTTCTCTCCTTCTTCCTCTTTGATTTCTCCTTCCCCTCTCGGTGCTTTTTTCTTCGACAAGAACACACACACACACACCCATGCCCACGCCTATAACTTTTTTCTAACCCCGTGGTTGTGTTTTGGACGTCAAACCACGAAGAAACTACCTCGGAGACATTTCTCAGTTTTCCGGCGAGCACCGCCCCTTTCGAGGCAATTTACGGCCAAACCACGGCGAGTTGGCCGGCGTGCAAGGTATCAATCTCTTCGTCTCGCTGAGTACTACAACATTCCTTTTTGTTTCACCTAAGTTCATTGAGTATTGAAGAAGTTATGCTCATTTGAATCTTACCCAGTTTCCGGCGGATACCCGTGGCTTCCAAGCTGTTTTCCGGCCAACTCCGACCACGATGAAGGGAACCAAGGGTATATTTCGATTCCTTACCTTCGGGGCTTCATTTTGGCATATTGAATGACATGTTTTGGTTGAGTTTTGAGCTCCAACGGAGCTTGGGAATTCTCCGGCCGAAATCCAGCCTTCTCCCTCCTTGGAATCCGGCGAACCACCCAAACCCAAGGCCTTTGGGCCTTTCCTGCCAAGCCCAAAACCCTGGTTGCAAGCCCAAACCCATTACCCTTTTTAAATTGGCCATTGGGCCGTGAGGTTTCAAACCCAAACCCATTTTCCTTCTAACCCAAACCCAACCCACCTAAAACCTAAACCCAATTACCCTAACCCAAAACCCTAGGGCCTAAACCCGGATCCAATACCCAAACCATAAACCGGGTTGGCTCTGACGGGTTGACCCACGACCCGCGACCCGTTGACCGTTGACCGTTGACTTTAACCTCGGGGTTGACTTTTTGGGTTTTCGTGCAGGTCCCCTCCTAGGCTAATTTCGACGTTCTGAACCCGTTTCCGATGTCCGTTTTCCCAAATTCAATCGTTTGAGTTGAGTTTGACTAAATGTACCATTTATGTGCTTATGGGCGATTATCTATGGCGTTTCCTTCTTCGCTAGATGGCGTGGCTTTTCGACGGCGAAGTACTGTGAGTGGACCCCTTCTAAAAATGCATGTTTTGATAGTATAAATGCATACATGAAAAGCATGATTTGATGATTATGTTTTATGAAACGTTTTACGAGATAACATCCTTACTGAGGCTAGTTTGAATT